TTCCCCCAAGAGCGCTGCGATCGGGGAGCCTGGACCTTCTTCAGGTCCCAGGCCCCCGGGATATTAAGCTCACCCAAACCAAGGCCAGGGCTTTTTCGGTGGCGGCTCCTACCTGGTGGAACGAGCTCCCGGTGGAGATCCGGGCCCTGCGGGACCTTGTACAGTTCCGCAGGGCCTGTAAGACGGAGCTCTTCCGCCAGGCTTTCGAGTAGGAGCCGCCGCTGCTGCCACTATACCATCAACGTGGCCGATTTACCATCTGCCCGGCTTGGGGCGGGAGTGGATGCTGCCCTGAATGGGGAATATTACTCTGGCGCTCCTGCCTCTCATACCATCGGCCGCCAGTGAGGGACATCGACCGTCTTGAATTTGAAATGAATTTGTAAAATGAATGTTAAAATGATCCATAGAGCACCTTTTTTTAGTCTGTATTTATTGAGGTTTTAATGTGATTATGTTTTATTACCGGCGTTTGCCACTTGTTTGCCGCCCTGGGCCGTATGGGTAGGGCGGGATATAAATCCCAAAAATAAATAATAATAAATAATAAATAATAAACCTATTCCTTTAGGTACAGACAAAACTGTGCAATGAAATAAGAGAGCGTGCTTTATTTTTGAAACTGCATCGCTTGGTCACATCAGGTTTTTCCTTGGCAAAATCGGAAATTACCCACATTCCCCCCCTCCAGATAATGCCCCCTCCCCTTTGCCAGGCCCTGGAATAATTGTACCCCCTTTGCCTCCTTCTGTCACCATCCTGTTCTGCCACTACCCTGTCTGCAAGACCTCTTTCTGAAGAAATAAACATCTTGTCCTATTTTGGACAGATGCCGTTTGTCCAAATCAGCCTGTGAGGTGGATGAGGAGATTCCCAACAGTCAGGTGGAGTGTCAGTGTAATATCAATAGCCTACCACCCAAAGTAAAAAATTTGCTGCTCTGTTTGATCATAATAATTCATATTAATAATTACAAATGAGGCTAGAAGCTAAACTCTGCCTGGTCACAGCTGTTTTTAGAACTTTAGAGCATTTCCCCTCCCTTCCTGCTGTTTGCTTAATTAGTGGTAATATAAATTTCAACCTCAGAATTAACCATTTGCAGCAGACCATCACATGCTTTACAATAAAGGCAATTTCCTGCCTCCCCCAGCTACTACGAACGGATCTTAATTAGCCAGGCTTGACAAAGCATTTGTCTTGAGCGGCAGTGTTTTGCATCCAGAACGTTAGGGTTGGGTCCTTGGATCCCAGATCCATTTAAACAGTAAGCATGAGGAGCAATTTGGCTCACTTAGAATCTTGGGGGTGGCAAGCACCGGCATTTAGACCCCAAAGTTTGATCATCTGTTTGTAGTATCTAGGTTTGCATTCATAAGTACAAAATGTGCATGGTCTTCCTCTCCAGCAAAGCAAATGTAAAAACAAACAATAACAACGAGAAACAAAAAATCCAGCTCACCATAAAGAAAGGGATTTCATTCATTTTTTTTAAAAAAGAAAATAAAACAAGTCATGTGCAGGGGTCATTTCCTGCAGGAGCACACAGGAGTGGAGATCTGGCAGTAAAGAGCCCAGGGGGTGGGCACATGCAACAAGCCCCACCCCCTGCTCCCAGCAGCCCTCAGTCAGAGCAAGAAGCAGCCAGGTAAGTTGCAGAGCCCCAGCCCCCTGGTCCAAGACAGTCCAGTGGCACCTTTAAGACCAAGTTTTATTCAGGTACAAGCTCTCCCTCCTCTGCGAGGACAGATCTGCACGTCCCCCCCCCAATAGCTAGCAATCCAAAACAGTCCAGTGGAGCCTGAGTGGTGGGTGTTGCCTTCTGACACACTTCCGGTGATGTCGGGTGTGTGGCATATGCAAATAAGTTACAGGAATGAGTTATGCTAATGAGCTCCTGCACCTTTTTTCTACGAAATGACCCCTGGTCATGTGTATAAAGTGTATATTATTTGCAGCATCCCCCCCCCACACACACACACTACTAGACTGCTCCTACCTCATTGGAATGTGTCCTGTTCTGGTGTTTTGCTCGGTCAGAAGCATTCGAAAAAGCTTTATTGCAGCCTTCATGTTCACAGACGTAAGGTTTTTCTCCGGTGTGAGATCTCAGGTGTGTCTTTAAGTTCTCTAGCCGGGAGTAGGCTTTGGAGCAACCTTCAAACTGAAAGAAAACAAATCAGGTGTGTTAGTCTGCTGGAGGCATTTTCCATATCATCTGGTTTTAATCCCCACCTCCTTAAAGAACCTAATTCCTTGAGGGATCTCAGATTTCTTAAGCAGGCTGTAAGGGGAAAGAATTGTTCTACACAATTGATAATCTGAGGAACTGATATAAAGTAGGGGCCTGAATTTTCAAACTCATCCCTCTCTATTTTTGTCAAGAGAACGGCCACCTTAAGGCCACTCCATGCTTGAGAGAACTCTTGTGACAGTTATGCGTATGATGATACTACAGCAGGGTTTCCTCACAGATGAAAACCTTTAAATATTCTTGTCACATGCCCGAGGCCCCTGACTGAGCAGAAATTCCCTGATATTTATGTGTGTTCAACAGGGGTCATTTTATAGAAAAAGAGGTGCAGGAGCTCATTAGCTTAACTTATTAGCATAAGTTATTTGCATATGCCACACCCCCTGACATCACCG